CCCCCCCCCCCCCCCTCGATCTTCCGTGATTACTTACGTGCAGAAATTTTGCAACAATCGTGTATATGACTAAATAGGCTAAGGCAGGATAAGGCTGATCGGATACACGTGAAGGCAATAAAGAAGAATTTAACATCAAAGTTTTGCCACATGAATCCAAGCGGATGTTTTCCAAGGGAAATCGTTTCTCAAGAAAATTGTTTTAATTAGCAGTCTAATGGACATTGAAAAATCCATAGGTGACCTGCTTTCTTCTACAGATTTATGCCTTGCGGTACTCGTAAAGTTTCCTTAGCTTCGGTGACAAGACAAGCAACGTCTGTTTGTATTGTACAGTGGAACCTCGATTTAACGAAGTCGCTGGGGACCGGCCAAATTTGTTCGTTAAATCGAGGGTTCGTTATATCGAAAACCTCGATATAACGAAATTGAGGGGAAACGACCAAAATGGTCGTTATATCGAGGTCATAGTTAATGATTGATTTGTAACACAGATGACTTCTGTCACGCAATTCAATGCAATTTTCGTCACCCAGAAGTGTCGCGTTTTGAGATGCAATTGATTAAGCATGGTGGCTTAATTATTTTCACTTTTGAGCAGACGCGCAGCTTTTGTTTACAAAAGAGCGACACTTTCTCTGAGAGTAGCGATTTAAAAATGTTGCAGCATAGAAGTTATACAGAAAATTGTCTATGTAAACAAGGAAACATTGTAATTCGTTATATCGAGGTAGATTTTACGTTTGGGCTTCCGGATTATGTTCGTTATATCGAAGAATTCGTTATATCGAGGTTCGTTATATCGAGGTTCTATTCCATACATTTTACTGTAACTTTGGCCGGGACATAGAATATCGTTCGTTGTATCGAGGACTTCGTTAAATAGAGGTTCGTTAAATCGAGGTTCCACTGTAATTTACAAAAATATATAGATTAATACATAAATTAGAAATCCACACAGTAGCTGGTCATTCAAAATAACTATAGAGCTAAACTGCTTGGTTGACTACCGTTTATTGATTGATATAAAGATCTATAAAGGTTGTAATGACTGAGACGTTGTCTGGTCAAAAGGGAACATCAAGCCGTTAAAATAAGTAAAAAAAAAAAAAACCGAAGTATAACCTGTGTCTCAAAACGAACTTACGCAACATTATAAGTTTGCCTAAGCCATCCGCCACTTCTTACGGGATCAACTCCTTTACAAAACATGTACACGTTTACATTCTGCGTAGCCTCATTTTGATGTTAAAGTTTGTAAACGAAATGGCGATCAATGGGTCTGGTTTCGTTATGGCAGTCAGGGCTAAAGGAAACCCGCAAAATTACCCAAAATTGGTAAAGGATTGCACAGAGACGGCTTCGTCGTCATCTTCGACGCAGACGTCTCGTTTCCTCCTTGTTTTTTTCCGTTTTTTACTTTTCACGCATTTACCTGTTCGTCGTGTTTGGACCAAACCAAGGTCGCAGTTGTTTTGGGAAGAGACGTGCCTGGGTTGGAATGAACGAGACTGGGTGAAAAACTTCCGGATGTCCAAAGAATGGAAGGCCAAATAGTGCAAAATTCAAGAAACAAAATTGGCTGCACGTTCAACAAATTTGCTATCAAGGTCAAGAGAGATTTCAATCCAAATCACTTTCAACCGATTTTCTCTGAAGGTCAACATGTCAACAAAATAACGTCATCACTTTCAAAAACTTTCCTTTCAATGGCAAGAGATATTTGGGTCAAGCTCGAGAGATTACTGAAGCCTACATTCAACGAAAAAAGTTCTCTCAATTTCAAGCTTCGTTCCATATATTTTCGCTTTGTTGACTTTGGCAAATGGGTCAGTTGTTGACAACTTTCGTTTTTTCGTGCCAGCTTTGCATACTGTCAATACTGGCCTCTGATCTTCCGAAGTTGTTTCCGAAAAGGAACCCTAAATATAGAGATCCAAGTCGGAAATAAATAATGTTAGCAGCTGCTTTAGGTTTTACTTATCTCAATAAATGATTCCATCCATCTTGGAAGTATAGTTGCAAAAATAAACCCACTAAACTTTGTCGACATGATCCTGCGACAATAGCTCTTTCATAGAAGTGCACTAAGTGTTTTAAGTTTTAACGGCTGGTTTACTGTCTTTACTGATTTGATGAGATGATTCTTTTAGATCAGACAACTACTCTGTCATTTCAGCCTTTTATCAACAAAACTAAGGAAACCTTACGTGTATCGTAAGGTATAAATCTCTAAGACAATATCACCTATTGCTTTGACGTGTATCTGATCAGCCTTATCCTGCTTTGAAGCCATATATACGATTGCTGCCAAATTTCTGCATGTAAGATTCTAGGGGAAGAGGCGTTTTAAGAACATATTATTTGAAAACGACTCTCTCTGGAACCCTAAAATCTTTTGGTGGGCGAAATTGCCATGCAATAACAACAGAGTTGTTCGATAGACATCTTAAAGAGCATTGTTATAAAAGGCACCAGAATACAATTTTGAGTGTGGCTCAATGTGCCCCGCGCACTATACCCTATTGGTATAATGAAAGCCCAAAACCCTGCAGAGAGTGTCTCCCCTGCCCCGAACCTGACGTCGTGAAAATATTTTTGGCAAGAGATTTAGTTTGACGCAGCAAAGCAAAAGTTCGTTTTGAGACTTACGTCTAAGTGTCGCTCAAAAACAATGCAACATCTCTTCTAAGCGAGAAGAGGGCAACTACAAATAAATAGCGAAACCACGCCGATAGGACACTCTTGGATTCGACTGCACGTACGCAAGGCGTTTGACCTTTAGCTCCAGTTGAAGGAGCAGAACATTTAGGAGGATGATTTTCCTGTTTGCGTTGTCCTTTATTAATCTCGGTACTTTTGCGGGGGGAGATTTTAGCCCTCTTGGAAGGGGATTGTATCTTCCTACATAGAAACTTGTGGGTGACATACCCAGGAGTGGATATCAGGTATACAGAAATGTTTGGCCTAGAGTAATTACATTGCTGGTAAAGATACTAACTGCCTATAAGTCGGTAAACTTTCAGCTGAAGCTGTGCGTCTTTGAAACGCCCGCAAATGCTTGCATAAGCAACTAGGGTTTTTTGTGACAAAATATGACTTACAAGTTTTTATTGACCCTGTTTTGAAGGATCGTCGAAGAAAATGTTGAAACGAAAGGAAGTGTTCTGCAGAGTATTGTACGTTGAAAAAGCAACTCATTGCATGGGTGTTGAGTTTTCTTACGTTTAATTTCTTTGATAGGCCTGCATCACATCTTACTGCATCTTGCTCATCTGGAGAGTCCTGCCTCAATTCCAGTCCTTAAACTCATCCTGAAATCCTTATTACTGATCTGCAATCCACGGTTTTGTCCTTGCCTCTGATGTCCCAAATCCATAGAAAGAAGTCTTTTATTGCTTTTCCTGTTTATCGGTCTTTTATGGAATATCATCTATTTTCACGTTTTTTTTTTCTACAGATTTTGGATCCTTCCGTTTTGCAGAGGTGTATCATAGAAAACCCAAAGCTCGTCTCGATTCGGAGATTCCGTTACTACAAAGACACGAATGCCGCCTATTCGTCCCTGGCGACCACAGCAGGTCTGGAAAGTTCTCTTAAGACAGGCTTTTCACTGGGCTTATCACTCGAGTATGCATCAAAAGGGCTCTCCGAGTTCGTCCATTCTGTGACTGGAAATTCACTCCTGATCCAGGCATCTTACAGTCAAGATATGTTAAACGAAGCATGCCTGCTGGATGAAAAGAATTTTGACGGAAACTTTTTAGAACAATTTCGAAAACTGCCTGTTAAAATTCAGGATCCCTGGTATTCCAATGCCTGGAAGCACTATGATGTATTCCTCAACACTTATGGCTCTCATGTTGTGTCGTCTGCGTTACTGGGATCGAGCATCAACCAAATGGTATTTGCTGAGACCGACGATTCCTATAAGGAGAGAGATTTCAAGGTTGAAAGCTTCTTGGCCTTGGCGTGACCGACAAATGTCACAGAGCTTGGTGTTTCAGTGTGTTCTGGTATTCATGAAAGTGAAATATCCCGGGTGTCTGAAATGTCCATGAATGGCAATCTGGTTGTTCGAGGAGGGACCCCTGAAACCTAGAAACGAGCTTATTAAGCACCGCACTGCAGATCTGATGGAAAAATTTCTGAATGAAGCCAAAGAAACCAAGTCTGCAATTCAGTACACCTTGACGTCACTTTGGAGCATTCTGCAAACCCTGTATGTCGGACAACATACTGAAAACTTCATCAGAGCTGTCAATCTCGAGTACTACTACCTCGGGTTTCTCAACTATGGCTGCGACTATAGGCCTGGTGGCGGACAAGATTTGCAGATGTTCAACTTTGCCAAGAGTTCTTCCCCCACCTCACCGCAGTACGAGTGTTCTCTGGCGCCAGAAGGCTGTCACAGTGACAAAGACTGCCACCGTAAGGCAGTGGCCTGGTGCTCATGTAGAGGTCCATCGTGCGTCACGTACACGGACATCAAACTGGACTATAACTGTAATGGGAAAACGACAGCGGTCATCAACACCGAGACTGACTGGGAATGGCATGGCTGCGAGATCTCGCATGTTCGTTGCTACTGCAAGAACCCGTCGGAGGAGCGTACAACGGTATGGAAACTAGACAACAAGCGCGCTTTGTTCCGAGCCCATTACTTAAGCTTGAACCCGAACATCTCCAAAGGAACAGTCGAGCTATAGCTTTAATAAAAAAACAACCGGCAAAGAAAGAAAATGGCAAGACTGTTTTAAAACTGGAAATTGTAGAATAGTGTTTTTTTTCGATCTTTTTCGCTTTTTGCTGTACACCTGTAATGTAGCAATCGTTAGGTACTTAGACTAAAACTGGCTTCGCGTTTTTGTAATTTTTAGCACGTGCAGTTCTCATCAAAAGCATATTTGTCATATATGTTTCATGATATGGGTATATAAGAACAAAATGTACCGAGCATTGTTAATTTGACATCAAGATCTTGAGCTAGGTAGATCATCCGCTTCGGTGACTTTGTATTTTGTATTTTCATTTTAAAAGGCGGCAAGGCTTGCCGAACAGTTACGTATAGCCCCTTAGACAAATAAAACCCCTAGGCTTTTCATTATCAGGTTTAACTGTTTGTGTTTGGTCTCGTTTCGAATAGTTTCTTTTAGAATAAACCAAAAAAAAGTACGTGCTGCTCACCTAGTTCCTAGACGTTTCTAGGATGTTCAAAGCCAAAATGGCATTACCATTAAAGGGTAATGGAGCGGGACAGTGGGGGACTGAGCGTCAGACCCTCAACGGGACATCCCGTTCATCTCCGAATACGATGTTTCAAAAGATTCAAACACCTTGAGTTGTGGTTCTTCAGTCTGGGTGAGGATATTTTTTTACAAGTTCCTTCCTTTTCTTTTCAATGACAGTTAAGAACTTTTAACACATAAAAAATCAGAAATTTGAAGCATTTTTATAATATGGCCTTTTCTCAAGAGTTGGAACTGCCAAATTCACAAATATAATTGGCTTAAATGGATGTTGACCGAAATCCAGATTTTTCCGTCTAGACCAGCACATAAATAAAATTGCGAAAACAATTGGCTTTTGTCTGCTAAAAATACTTAATGAAAGAGCCAAAAGAACACTTAAAAACTTCACGAGTAAAAATGTTAATAAAGCGAGCAAACCTTGGCAAATTCTTATTGAACATAAGTGAATAACAATCAATAAAAGACTAAGAGCGGTTTGAACGCTTCTAAGAATTTTTTCCAGTCTATAAAAACAGGCTTTAGAAGTTGAAAACATACCTGCCAGTGAGCTCGACTCATTTGGGAGAATCTTGACCTCAGTCGTAAGTACAGGCCTCACTGCGTTCGTAGCTCAGTCAAGTGACTCGTCCAAGTTGAATGATACCGGCATGGATTCTGCGCGCTCGCTCTCCTTGGTTAGAAAACTTTCTTTTGGAGCGATTTTATATTGAGTGTCCAAAATGGAATCCTGAAATGCTCTGGTTTTGTGTTTTTTCTTTCTCCGGCTGTCACTGCTTTTTAAAAAAGTTCGCGCCTGTTCAATTCAGCCAATCAGATGTGAAATCAAAACCAATCGCAGTTTGATCAAACTCGATTTCCAGCGCTTAGCAAATAGAAAATAGTGCTTCGGTTGGCCTAAATAACACTGACTCGACGTTAGTTAGATCTCAACGGTTCTAAGGGTTACAGTCCCTAGAATTTACAGGGAGGAGGTTCATAGCGGTCAAACGTTAAGTTTTAGGATACATTCCGTTCTCCTTGTTTCGAAGTTTGGAAGAGATTGATTCCATAAAACGCAAGACTTTATTTGCAAGACGAGCAGTGCTTGGGCTAGGGGAGGCTAGGGGAGCCTTTTGCCGACTAAAAGATAGATGAGGAGACCCTCTCTCTATCACGCAACGCTACTTAATCGGAGGGCTGATTTTCTTCCCGAAATTATGTCGGTCTTTAGGTGCTTTGCTCGAACCGTTTTAGTCCGAGATCTATGGTTGGCCATTCGTTTCAAAATTACGACAGGGTATACACGGGTTTTTCTGCCGCGTATACTTGTTTACATACGTTACGTATGGACTTTAAGCTCATATATACGACCATTTAGATCGCGTATATACGCATTTTTAA